CTTTTGCCCAGTGGTTTGACCTCCATCTCTCCCGTGTCTACTCTGCGTCGCTCGGCTTCTGATAACGCAGGATACACGTCGATGCCTTGTCTGATCTCCTCGCCGCGCATGAGGAACACATTAAGCGCGCCAGCTGTAGCGACAGCCGCGAAAGGTACCAATCGCCCGGCGATAACTTTCGCGTTGGGCGACAGGCTCTTGAGGCGGGGTACCAGCGCGTTGAGACCGAGTGCGACACCGCATGATGCGCTGACGGCGAGGAGGTAGGATTGGACGATTGTGGATGTAGAGAGCGGGATCGATTTGTTCGCGTTGGAGAAGTTGATTCCGACGTTGACCGACTGGTTCGTGACTTGCCAGCCTAGTGTTCCCGCTGTCTGTATATCCTTAGTGTATTGTCGCATTATCTCAATGTAGACGCTTCTCATACCCCAAGACCCGGTGTAAGCATACCAGCGGTGACAACCAAGTTTGTCAAGACAAAAGACGACATGCGGAAAGGCAGGAAGACTGGCTGGCCCGTGTCTTCACTCTGTCAGCGTCCCCCCCTCAGTATGCGATCGCGTCGTTGTAGTACCTGGGTGTATGGTCGAGTCGATGATCTTCTTCGCATTCCACAGCTCGGGCGTCATCTCTGGTATCTTGCCCGTCTTGTACGCGGTAACGAGGTTCTTCGCATTTTCGAGGCCGGCCGACGATGTGAGGAGGGTTCTGTTGCGTGTTTGTTAGTCATGACTGTATACCGAATGTAGAGATGTGAACAAGCAATGGAAAAGCTCAAGGTCGTGGTACTCACCACACCCAGTATCCCCAAAGAAACATCATCGTCCCACGCGCGCAGTATCTCACCTCGGATCTGATATGTTTGCTGAGTGCTGCACGCGACCCCAGTACGTCCCTAGATTGAACTGCGAGACTGGCAGGTCGCGGTTTCCAGGTAGCGAGGACGTCATTTTGACGGGGTGTAAGGGAGTGGGAACCGCGATCGAAGCAAGGCAAGCTTCAACAGCCCGCGGGTTTGCGAGGATGAGTGTTCGTGTGGGTAAATGTGTAGGGCGCGACGATATCGGCGATAATGCGAAGCGGGAACTAGCGACAAGCGCGATAGCTACGATAAGTACATTTCATCCATGGATATGCCATTTCTATATATCAGGCTCTAAATCTAGCCTCTGTATTATGGCATCTGCGCGCACGCATACAATACCGCTCTAGATCATTACAAGAAGCCCGCCAATGCTGCCTCCAGTATATGCCGAACGTGAACATTATGAAAACACGCGCTTTTATGCATCAAATCCAGCCCCAATCAACCCATATCCCATCCCTCATTGTCGACACCTCATTTCTTCTTCTTGTTCTTCTTCCCATTATCACTCGCCGACGTCCCCAGAATATCATCGAAAGTCTTGTTAGGATCGTGATTGCTCGCGGGCCTCAAACTCGGGCTGCCCATTGGCATCGGCGGCGCAACACCAGGCGGCAGCGGCAACGCCTCCAACCCCAAATTCATAACGCTTTCCCTTCTTCGATCCGGGCTCTGACTCCGCGCACGAGCAGCCGCACCAGGATCAAGAAGACCAGGTGGCGGCGGTAACGGGCTCGCATTCGCATTGAGTTCCTGCATCGCGGCATTGAGCAAAGTATCGTCTGCAGCCCACTGCTGAGCCTTCTTCCAGCAGTGCGAGCGGCGGAATGTGCCTTCGACGCCGTGCTCGACTACGTCGGTGGGTAGGGACACGACTTGCGCGCCGCCTGCGACTCCGAACCAGGTTCGCGAGCGGGTTGTGTCTTCTCGGGCCCAGGGGACGCCGCTGCGTGGGACTTCGCACAGGAAGTATTCTACGCCTTCGGTGAAGCGCACGCCGGGTGCGTCGACGACTAACATGGGTAGGGACTGGATTACGGCGTATAGGAAGAGCCATTGGCCTGATCGCATGTCCCACATGTCATCCATGTTGGAGCCGGTGGCTTGTTTGAACTCGAATGTGCGGAATGCTTCTAGGAAGGGTGTTTGTTGCTCGGCATCGGCGTTGTGCGACTGCTTCAGTAGCTTGGCGACTTCGTCTTTGTGCAGCTTCTTTCCGCGCGCTTTTGCGTCTTTCTTCGCGTCGCCGGTCTTCGCGTTCTGTGAGATAGGGTAGAGCGGTAGATCGAAAGGAATTGGGGGCGCGACTGGTGGTGTGCTGCGGTCGTATTCGCTCAGAACCTTCCTCAGCGCACGCGCGACAACGGATTCGATGTCTGTTCCTTCGTCTTCAGCGATAAAGCCGTCCGCGGTACGGTTTGTCAAGTTCTTCCTATCCACGAGGAGATCGTACAGACTAGCCATGTCGCGATAGATCTCTAGTAAGACCAGTCGGTTAAGACCACTTGTAGTCAAGTTGTTCTTCTTTGACTTGGCTTTTGGTAGCCACGAACCGTACTTGTGCCTGTAGTAGTCCATGACGAAAGACTTGATAGTCATAAAGGCGGCCCTCCACTTCTTGAAGCTGATGACCTTGCCCTCGCTTGCCATTGCGCTGTTCATAATGCCAGAAAAGATATGCGGAAACTCAAAGTCCTTGAGCTTGTGATTGATGGTTTGCTCGCGGTTTTCCAGATCCATAGCAGCTCGGGCAAGTCGCGTAGAACTCTTTGGGCTGATCATGCCAAATTTAGGCGAGTCGAGTTCTTTGACGCTGTTGTACTTTCCGGCAGCGTGGACGAAACCCTCGGTGTATAGTGCCATCGAGCGCAACTTTTCTCCTAGCACAATGGCTTCTATAGTCTTCTCGCGGCTGTGGCGGACGTCTGCGAGGGTCAACTCGTCAACGTAGCAGTCAAAGCTCGACGCAGCAACCTCGCCAAAGGTGGATCCATCGACGTTGGAGAAGGCATAGTGCGACAGTATGTCTCCAATCCGCAGGAAGATGTCGAAGATGTCTGAGTGACGCTCCGTAGCGACCAGCGACTGTCCGATGAGGAAGGCGAAGAAGTTGCGGTAGGTGACCAACGTGTCGGTATCGTTTGCGTCGAGGCGGGGCTCGTGAGGGGTGATGGCAGAGTCTGAGCTCAGGGAGATGGGCATGTACAGATGCTTCTCCGTGTACTCGTCCTCCAGGGCGTCGCTTAGCGCTCTAGATCCCTTGGATATGGATTCATCCGAGCTTCCTATCTGGCTCTGGTCGGGCGATGCAGTCCGCGACTGTTCGCCAAATGGCTCCCGTGACACGCGTCGCGATGTGCGGTCGGCCAGGTCGAGCGGGGGCACGTTTGCGTCGCTGTAGAGGCTGCCGTGGACGAGGCGGGTGAGCAGGTGCGATGCTGCGTATACTGACGAGTCGATGCGGAAGGAAGGGCCCTTGTCGGAGGTGCGGGGGAAGAGGTAGACAAACGTGTCTCCAGCGTCGTCCCAGAGTTCAGGGACCTTTCATCTTGTCAGCGTTGGTATGAGATTCTGAGAGCAGCCGCAAGCTACCTTTTCGCCGTTCAGCAGGAACGTCAGGTTGTATGGCACCTTGCCCTTGTGTCCGACGATCCATGCCAGCGGGCTCGCATTGCCCTGTGGTGCTCCAGACGTAGCGTCTACTCCCTCAATGCCACCGGGTGGGCCGCCAAACAGACCGCTCTTCCTGCGCAGCTTCTTCAGTTTTCCTTCGGATGGGTCTAAGCTCGGCGTTCCGGGTCGGCTACTGGCTGGTGACGATGCGCGCGACGGCACCTCCAGCGGCGGCGGTGGCTCGAGGGGCTCAAGATCGGCAGGCACGACCGGCTGGATGGTGGGGTTGGAGAGAGACACCGCGCGTGGTGACTGGGCGGCGGGTGGAGGATATTCGGGCGTGAGGTGTGTCGCTGAAGAGAGGCGGTTGCGCACTTTGGTCAAGCGGCTGCTGGACTCTGATGACGCAGGGGTTGGGCTCAACTTCGCATTATTCGTAGACCCTGACGGCTCCGACGACCCAGATGACCCGAACAAACTCGACAGCCGACGAGCGGACTTCTTCTTGTCTCCCAACATGGCGAGGCGATCTAGGAGTTGTCTATGCGGCGCGGGAGGAGCAAGAGTTGGGGTATCGTGAAGCGTAGGAAAATATACTATGCGCGCCGCAACATGGGTTTGACACAACAGCAAACACGAGCACCACACATGCAGGGCCCCGGGCACCGGTCAGTTAGTATATGTCGAAAGGGACTGAAAAGCTTAGTGAAGGGACTAGGTGTTTAGGTGATCTATATTTGAGCTGTCGCAGATCCGCAGTGTCGTAACCATGCTAGTGCACGAGTAACGTCAAAGGTCGGGTGGCCACAACGTGGGTCGTTCTCTACATCTGTCATTGGCTTTGCTCTCCAGCCTTGGGGTGCATTTACACCTTGGTATGGCCGGCCGGCCACTCAGCGGCCGCTTTGACGTCCAAAAGACCCTTTGCCAGCGCTGGCTGTGACCTGCAGCACCTGCGCCTCATGCTGCGGGCATGCTGCGGGCAAGGCCCACCTCATCCACGGAAGCTGGGAGCGGACCCATGCGCAGCCGTGTCGTGCCAGAGACGACTGTTTCGAGTTGCCCGGCTTCCAAATGTGTAACGGTCGAAGAAAACTGTGCGATGCTACCACGCGTGAATTTATTCAGTTGCAGCTGACATGTCGTGTTTTCGTGACCATTTGCAGCATCGGTAGAACTATTGACAGCGCCGGCCGCATCGATGAGGTCTTTAGCGAGCGGATGACGTACCATCCCTAATCGATAGCGTCCACCCGAGGCTCATGGCTGTCGTACACACGTGCTGGAGGCGCGCCCTACGTTGGTATGAGCATGGCAATGACAGAACGCATGCACGCTTCATTCAATTGCTACCAACAGACCCATCTCCGAACTTCGCATCTGATATAATCGCGGCACGCTCACGTTATTACTGCTGGCCTGAGTCCACTCCGCCCCATAACTGCGCACCAGCCACTTCGGTACGCAGCCGTGTTCCGACGCCGCCACGGCTTCATCAGCATCCAATACAGAATCCAATATGGGCGGCGGCCAAACTATCGCGGACCAGATACTCAAGACGTTCGCCCTACCGGACGTCGTCGGCTCCAAGACTAGCTCTAAGAAGCTGATCAATTTGCTGAGAGGGCACGTGCCCCTGCCTTTCATGCAAACCCGCTGCCCTTTTGGGACATGACGCGGCCAATAGAGTAATCGCTAACAGCACCAGATGGCCAAACGTGTCTTTACTCCCAACGCAACTTCTCGACAAAGCAGCCCACAATGTCCTCCAGAAGAAGCCCATTGCGTACCCAGCCATGTGCTATGGACCCGATTCAGGTGACCCGCGGCTGAAGAACAATATTGCGCAGTGGCTCACGACGTTCTATAAGCCCGCGGACCCGGTCTCCGAAGACCGCATATGCATCTCTGGTGGGGCTTCGCAGAATCTAGCTTGCCTGCTTCAGGACTTTACAGATCCGGTGTATACACGGAATGTGTGGATCGTCGCTCCGGCGTATATGCTTGCTTTCCGTATATTCGAAGATGCTGGGTTCCACAAAAAGCTGAGGGCCGTGCCTGAGGATGAGGAGGGGATTGATATGGCGTATCTGAGGAGCCAGATCAAGCTGAGTGAGGAGAGGGCGAGATCTGAGAGTAATAATGAGCCGGTGAGTCGCTGTCAATACGTGGACGGTCTGAGACCTTCTTACGTCTACCATGATCTTGTCTCATAGAAATCTACTGCGACTGCATGTCGGGGTATACACCGCGGTTTGGCTACTAACATTGCCAGCAATTCAAACCTCCAAGGCCTTCAAATAAAATCTACAAACATGTCATCTACGCGGTTCCAGGCTTCTCCAATCCCAGCTCCAAGACTATGAGTCTAAAGCGTAGAGAGGAGTTGGTACGTTTGGCGCGAGAGTACGATGCCCTTATCATTACAGACGACGTATACGACTTCCTGCAATGGCCGTCAAGTCTAAGTCCTAGTACGCTGTTCATCGAGAAAGCCGGTTTGCCCCGGATCGTCGACATCGACAGATACCTGGACGGCGGCGCCGAAAGACATGGCGCAGATGGCTTCGGCAATGCAGTCTCGAATGGATCGTTTTCCAAGATCTTCGGCCCTGGCTTGCGTACGGGTTGGTGTGAAGGAACGCCCAAGATGGCGTATGGTGTTTCGCAAACGTAAGCATATCTTTTGGATATCCCGTCATCTGTCTCTGTCGCCATGCGCTATCACTCATACCGCATCTGGGATACCCGAGATCGAAACTATCGCGCTCAGATCGATCTGAGGTTATGGTGTCACAACGATGTCTCGCTCCATCCGGCATGACAGCTAACGTGTTCCAGAGGATCCAGCCGTTCGGGCGGAGCACCCAGCCAGCTGACAGCCTGCTTTGTGGCCGAGACACTGGAAACAGGAGAGCTCCAACGCTACGTGTACGACCGACTCCAGCCCACCTACGGCAATCGGTACCGCCGAATGGTAGAAGCCATCAACAAACACCTCATTCCACTGGGCGTTGACATTCCCCAAACCGATCGCGAGGTCGTCGGCGGCTACTTCATCTGGCTGACGTTGCCATCGCCGCTAAAAGGCGCAGTGGTAGCACAACGCGCAAAGGAAGAAGAGAACCTAGCCGTCGCACAGGTGAGTACAAGCCACGATTACGTCCACGTCCCTTGTCCAGATCATGGGTAAAGCTAACCACGACGCTTGTGTAGGGCGAAATGTTCGAAGTGAGTATGCTGCTCCGCAGCCATGTACGCCCAACTGACAGACGCAGGTACCCGGCGACACCGGCCATGAAGGCACGTCATTCAGCAACGACATCAGGGTTTGTTTTGCGGTCAGTACATACTCCTCGATTGGGTCTCCGAACCGATACTAATCCATTGCTAGTGGGAAGAAGAAGATATGCTTGCCGAGGGTATTGAAAGACTCGCCACGGTCATTAACCGCATGTTAAAGGAAGAGGCCAATGGAGGACAGGCAACTCAGAAGGCGGCTGCTCAAGAAGAAGACGCGAAGGGTCTGTGGTGATTGAGCGGAGGGAAGGAATGGCGAATGGGATGGAAGATCGCTGTCTCGAAGTGAAGAGCATCCTATCAGCCACAATCTAGATCACACGGAAATCACGCAGAAACTTCCACGATTGTAGGGACCATGTCATGTGATTCTGGTCTTGCACAACGCTATTCGTCGAGATCCGGTAATAGAGGTTGCGTTAAGCATGAGGGATCTGCGAGGCCAGCCGCGGGCTTGCTCTAGATGGACGGATGGGGTTTCGTCGAAACGTCCCCCGGCTCCACAAAAACATCCTGAAGGAAATGAAAAGCATATATCCGGTGGCGGCGCGAAACACAGTGACCGTTGGGTATGCATCCTTAGGCGGCGATGGAGCACAACATATCGTGGATGTGATGTCTTGCACTGGTGCAAAAGAAACTTTCGGAACTCGTCACGTCCAGGATAGCGATCGGGGTGGTGTTCGGTTCGAGCTTTTTTGTCCGCAAGGCTCGTGCTATGTTGCGCACAACGCTCATGAATGACACCATCTGCTATATGTCTGTGTGTTATCGGCATGTGGAGGCAACATGTCCATGATGCCCATGATGCCCAGGTGCGCGTGCCGAGGCGAACAGCGACGTCGTGGTCGAGTACAATGCAGACCACCACACCTTGGCATGACTCTCAAGCGCCTCTTGGATGGAGCCCGGCGCATCGCAGTGTATCCACGATCTCCTGCCGGGCCGTCGCGTCGAATTGCAGAGAAAGTCGCGCGTGGCGTTGACGCGCTGGCAAATGCTTTATCTGCGCGGCGGGCGAGCGAGGGCCTGTCGATGGCCTGGCGTTTCAGCGCCGTCTCACATCCGGGCATCGGTTGTGGCGCTACCAACCACATCCCTGAATTCCCTTCAGGAACAAACGCTCGCCTCGCCGCCTTGTACCCTCCCCATCCACTCACTGGCCATCGTCTCCCGCTTGTTTCACGCGGAGAAAGGGATACAACGGGTACAGTCTTGTGGGCCTGGCTAGTGGAGACCCTAGGTAATTTTGGACGCACGCGACGGCGGCAGGGTCACAGGCACGCAACCACGAGCCGGCACTTGTCTGCGGGCGTGGAATGCGGCTTCAAAACATGGCCGCAAGCGGTCGTCAGGAGGCAAGGGAGGATGAGGGACTGCTTTGTGAATCGGGCAGGATGAACGCCCACGATGAAGAGATGGCAAAAGAGCGTGGGTATCACAGCGACGACGAGGATATAAAATGCCTACTCAATGCCGGGGAACATGAATCGAGCACAGCACAGCGAACATCACACCCCGGCTACCCGAAACTTGAAACAAGGCGTTTCGACAACGTTGATTGGCGCCCCGATCCTATTGTAAGTCCCCTTCCTGAATGAACTGCTGTACATATACTATGCGGCGGCGCCCCCATTCACTTTTTCCCTTCACGCAGGCGATTGTCAGCTACCAGCACTCATTGTGTGCCTTCAGTTCTTATTGTTCTCTGTCATTCATTTCTATTGTGTAGAGTCATCTTCTCACAACAACATTACTACTTTCTTCTTCCTTCGTTGCTAGCCAACCTTACCACCACTTCTGCAAACTTGCAATCTTTCTACTCGACGATCCAACAACACTATCAACGTCCTTTGCCGGTCAACTGACAACGATACTTTCAGTCTTTCAAGTCGAGACTTTTCCAACTAGCAACTCCGAACTTCAACAAACGCACTGCCATCATGGTTGCCTTTAGCGCTGGAGCGCTTCTTTTGACGCTGCGCGTCCTCCTTTCCGCCACTCCTTCTACTGCTGTGCCCGTTGCGCAAGCACCTACTGCTTCATACGCACCAGTCCCAGCCCCATCAGCAGCACCAGCTCCGTCAGCAGCACCGGCACCGGCAGCACCAGGTGGCGCTTCCGGCTACTGGCTTGAGACTATCAAGCGCCAGGGCCAGGCTCCCTTCAACCCCAACCCGGAGTCTTACAAGGTCTTCCGGAATGTCAAGGAGCTTGGAGCCAAGGGTGACGGATCCACCGACGATACCGAAATCATCAACAAGATCATCGCTGACGGCGAGCGTTGCGGCGAGGGCTGCGACTCGACCACTACCACACCGGCACTCATCTACTTCCCCGCCGGGACCTACATGATCAGCAAGCCCATCATCCAGTACTACTACACCCAGTTCGTTGGTGACCCATTGAACATGCCCATCCTCAAGGCCACCGCAGACTTCGAGGGCATGGGTTTGATCGATGCCGATCCCTACATCCCAGGCGGCGACGGCGCCAACTGGTACACCAACCAGAACAACTTCTACCGCCAGGTCCGCAACTTTGTCATCGACATCTCCGCTACCAAGGCTGCCGCTGGTATCCACTGGCAGGTCTCCCAAGCCACCAGTCTCCAGAACATTGTTTTCGAGATGGCCAAGGGTGACGCCGGCAAGGACCAGAAGGGTATCTTCCAAGACAACGGCTCCGGTGGTTTCATGACCGACCTGACCTTCAACGGAGGTGCCATTGGTGCCTTCATGGGTTCCCAGCAATTCACCATCCGCAACATGACCTTCAATGACTGCGGTACCGCCATCTTCCAGAACTGGAACTGGCTCTTCACATACAAGAGCATCTTCATCAACAACTGCCAGGTCGGTCTTGACATGGCCAACAGCCCCGCCAACCAGACTGTCGGCTCCGTCCTTCTGCTCGACAGCAAGTTCACCAACACTCCTATCGGTATCAACTCGTCCTTCACCGAGAACAGCATTCCCACTACTGGCGGCACTCTCATCCTCGACAACTGCGACTTCACTGGTTCTGAGAAGGCTGTCATTGGTGCTACTGGTAACACCATCCTTGCGGGTGGTAAGAAGGTCGAGACCTGGGCTCAGGGTAACGCTCTCGCTGCCGGCGCACAGCTTGGCCGTGTTCAGGGTGATGTCAACGGCGCACCTGCGAAGCCCCAGAGCCTCCAGGGTCTCAACGGTTGGTTCGAGCGCAGCAAGCCCCAGTACGAGAACGTCGACGTCTCCAAGTTCGTCAGCCTCAAGTCCAAGGGTGCCAAGGGTGACGGTGCTACCGATGACACCGCTGCTATCCAGGCCGCTATCGATGGTCTCCAGGAAGGCGAGGTTCTCCACGTCGACCACGGTGCCTACCTCATCACCAAGACTGTCGTCGTCCCCGCTGAGAAGAACGTCAAGATGGTCGGTGAGGTTTACAGCACTTTCTTCATCACCGGCGAGTTCTTCTCCAACATGGACGACCCCAAGCCTGGTTTCCAGATTGGTGCTAAGAGCGGCGACAAGGGTTCTTTCGAGGCCTCTGACCTCATCATCGGTACCCAGGGCCCTGCTCCCGGTGGTATCTTGATGGAGTGGAACATCAACGCTGAAAACGGTGCCGCCGGTCTTTGGGACGTCCACTTCCGTGTCGGTGGCTACGCCGGAACCAAGCTCCAGTCGTCCAACTGCAAGAAGAACCCCGACGCGACCCACGAGCCCAACCCAGAGTGCATCGGCTCCTTCATGCAGCTCCACATCACCAAGAACTCCAACGGCTACTTCGAGAACGTCTGGCTCTGGACCGCCGACCACGAGCTCGACCAAGACGACCACTCCCAGATCGACATCTACAACGGCCGCGGCATGCTCGTCGAATCCCAAGGCCCCGTCTGGATGTACGGCACCGCCTCCGAGCACTCCCAAATGTCCCAATACCAGTTCTCCGGCGCCAAGGACATCTTCTACGGAGCCATCCAAACCGAGACACCGTACTACCAGCCCAACCCCACCGCCGCCGTCCCCTTCACCAAGAACGACAAGTACTTCGACCCAGACATGAGCCAAGCCAAGGCCGCCTGGGCCGTCCGTGTCACCGACGGCAGCGACAGCATCTGGTCCTATGGCGCGGGTACCTACTCGTTCTTCCAGAACTACGACCAAGACTGCGTCGTCGGCCAGAACTGCCAGCAAGACATGAACGAGATCGCCAACTCGACAAACGTCAACTGGTTCGGTCTTAGCACCAAGGCGTCCGTCAACATGATCACCATGGGTGGTCAGGGTCTAGCCAAGGATGAGGATAACCGCTCTAACTTCTGCGCTACCCTTGCTATCTTCGCTTCGGGATAGATACCTTCTTCCTTTCCTCTGCGACAACACTACGTGGATATTCCTTGATGGATGTTCATTGACATAGACACTTTTTCTCTTCTTTTCCCTTTGGGGACCTGTTTTTTTTTTAACGAACATGTATATTTTGTTGTTCTGTCTTTGTCCCATGTAAGAGGCGGAATGTCACACTCGCTTGAAAGATACGCTGTATGAAGTCGAGAAGCATTATTTATACCCCTGGGCAGGATGGAGGAGTTTGGGCCGGAACCTTTTCTTTTGAGTCGAGTTGATAAGATGATGAATTCGATATCTTGTGATATTATTAAAACCTGACGCCTTTGCTTGTGAATCCTCCCTAATAGTCTGAACAGCTTCATTACAGGTCCTCGCAAGGTGAGATTATGGAGATAGTGGTGATAACATGTTCGTGCCTCGCCAAAACTCACCTCCCCCGCGCGCACGTCCTCGGGAAAAACTTCCCCGCTTAGAATCTCGCAGCTCAACCTTCTACAAAACCTACGCCTTCCCACACAACCACCCCACCACCTCTCTCACGTGCGCAAACATGTCTGACCCGTCAGACGAATCCACGCGACCCGCGAAACGCGCGCGCCTCGACGATAATGCCGCTCCCTCGCTCTCCACCACATCAACCGCAGCTCCGAATACAGCTCCGATTCCCACGGCCTCGATTCTCTCGGCACCAGCAACCATTGACACGGATCTGGAACGCGAAGTACGCGCCGGTATAACCGAATATGTTTGCCCGGATAATCTGGGCTTTACGGGTGTGCTGAAGCAAAGGTACACGGATTTCTTGGTCAATGAGATTGGATTGGATGGGCAGGTGCTGCATCTGAAGAGCACGGAGGTGGTGGATAAGAAGAAAGCTGGGAAGGAGGATGTGGAGAAG